AGGGTAGCATTAGCATTGTAAGTAAACATTAGCTTTTCTTTTTTTTTTTTTCAATAAGAGGTTTTTATTTAATAGAAATTTTGGACAAAAAAAAATTGCAATATATCGCAGTATATTGCCTTGCTTACAGTATCGCAATATATCGGGATATATTGTATCGTGACCCCTCTGTTATGATGTGTATTGTATCGCCAAATTCTTGCCAATACACAGCCCTACTATTAATGGCAAAAAAACTTTAATCTTTGGCAAAGTGTAGTGCTTAGAGTACATTTTGGGTACGATTCTCAACTACAACCACACCAAATTCTAGCTCATCTGTAAAACTAAAAGAGATTTAGACACTTTTGTGTTTGTTAATGTTAGCTGAGTCAGCCGTTTTGAATCGAATCGACTTCAATAGCTAATGAGTTACTGATATGTATGCGATGACTGCTCGCCGACGAGTTTCATTGAAATTCATCCACTGGTTTATGAGATGTTTTGCTAACAAGGCAGACAAAGATGCACAGAAACAGGCCGACTCACAGAAACACGTGTATAACATTAGCAGTACGTGATTATAGTTTGATTTTCTAAAGACGTAATTAAATAAACTTTTTGATTTCACCTGTTGGATCCAGGAACAGTCTGTGGACTTTGCTGTCATCTTTCCTTCCTAATTCAATTTGATTAGGCTGATCTGGTTTGGCCAAGTCAATTCTGTAAAGAAGAAAGATTGAAAACTTTCAGCCCATTGTTTCAAGGGTAATAGTAATTATCTCCAAATTGATCGAATCAAACCATGACAAATTAACAGTGTGTTTGAGGAGCTTATGATATAATTAYTTGCCTCAATAAGGTGTCCTTTCCAAGACTCATGCATAGCTGATTGCTGCAGACTGCCAAATGGTTTATCCTCTCGGGTGGAGTAAAATCGATCCTCTGTTTGTTGAATATTGGTTTCTCTTCCTCGAGCCTCACGTTCACAAAGCCTTAAGTGAGAAAACACGCCTGTGTCAATAAAATCCCAACAGCCAGCTGTGGTTAGCTGATGCTAACAGGGAGACCTACCTGAATGTGTTAGCCCGATGTTAGCAGGGGACAGGCGGCTGTGCTGCTGAGAACCTTGCCTGTTGTTTTGGGAGTCCTCGTACTCATCAAGGATCGAAGCCATGATTAAATGTACGCCAACGTACTTAGTTTATGCCCAGCGCGCTAATTTAAATAAGCTACATAAATGTCTGGAGGAGATAAACACATCCCAAACCTGCTAGCCTAGCGGCTAAAGCTAGCACCAGCTTCACTCGTTTCRGGTCTCAAACAGCACAGGCTTTACTTTTTACGTTCTCGTCTACAATGGCACGAAGACACAACGTGAGTTTCAACGCGGAAACGTCAGAAATTACTTTAATCCGTGTTGAAATATGGCCYACTTTAGCTTCCGAGTTCTCCACTGAGTGATAATTCAAAGTCAGGTGATGCTCCGGGTCACGTGATCTCCTTGGGTCGAGTGCATTTCTTACCGGCAGAGGGCGGCATTTCTCTAGAAACGTGTTATTTTCTTGAGAAACTAGAA